CTGAGTCATTTCCTAGCAACATCTTCATCCACTGTCATCTCCCTCAGATCTTTGGCTGGCTTTATCTGAAGTGCCTGGCTTCTTTGTTGGAGAAAATCTTCAACTATCTCCAGATCTGAATTCAGAGAAAGCTCTGGCTACCTCATCCCTTTTCCAGAGAAATGCCTTTCCTGAAAAGAGGCTACTTTCTGTCTAGTGGAGGGAGCAGGTATTCCAAACCCAAGTGACTTGGGCACTTGCTTCAAAGCCAGTATCTTGTTCCAAACTTAGTGCTTGGGTCTAGGCCTTGCAGTAAACTTTTCCTTGTTTTTATGGCTACTTCTAGACCATTCTGTTTTCTATCTTCTTAAAACTACTGCTTTTTTTTTCAGCATTGGAGGGTCAAACCCATAGCCTCTTGTATGCTGGGCAAGTGCTCACCCACTGAGCTACAACTCCCAACTCAAAACTGGTTCTTCTTTTGAGGTCCGTTCCTTCTGGAATTCCACATTTTATACACTGTGCAAGTTCTACCAGATTCCTGTGTGGAGAGATATCCAAACAGCTCAGATACTAAGAGTTGAGACAGGGTCTCACTAAGGCTGGGCTTGAACACACAATCCCCTGCTTTAGTTTCCCAGAGTGCTGGGATTATAGCAAGACCTTATCTCAAAAGAAAAAAAAGGAAAAAAAGTTGTATAACCATAAAAGAAAGAATCACGATGCAAGCTGAACATTTTATGGCTTTTACTACCTGCTGTCAAATGGTCCAGCAAAGGTATTCTCATAATCTGCAGTAAGTATAAATGTGCCCATTTCACTGAGGCCTGTGCAGTGTGTGTGTGTGTGTGTGTGTGTAACGAGGGCATTTGCACTGAGCCACATCCACAATCATTTAAGCTAACTAAGTCTCACTAAATCTCACTGAGTTGGTAATTTGCCAAGGCAAGGCTCAAGCCAGCGATCTCCCTGCTCCAGCCTCTAGAGTGCTAGTATTAATGGCATGTGCCACAATGCCCAGCCAAGTTTTATTATCTTATCTTACTGAATGGTAGGAAATGGTATCCCTGTTTTTTTCATTTTAACACTCTTCACTTATTATTAAAATCAAATTCCCCTCCCTCCAAAAACTAAACTCCTTATATTTGCTTTGCTCTTGTATTAACTGTCTGCTCATGCCCCTTAATCCTTTCAAAGAGCCTGGAAGTGTCTGAACTTTGACTGCAACAATAGATAATGTATCAGCCATTTGCAGTGTGTAGATTGGGATCCTGTTATTTCTGGAAGGGGACTTTCATTGTGATTGTGGTGCTTAGTAGAGTAAAAAGAATTTTATCCTGGAGATCTTAAATTGACGTCATTTCCTCCTGTCACCTTTAAATAAATGACTAGGTAGAAAAGATGAGCAAGGATGAACAGTGCTCCAGTGGGCAGTAGGAGGAGCTCAGTGCAGCCTGCAGGTGGTTCCAAGGCCTGAATCAGGCCTAAATCACTCATGTTTTCTGACACACTTCTCAGTTCTCTCTTCAGATGAAGTCTTACAAACAAGAAGGTTCCCTACATGATGCATTTTCCAGGTGTTTTGAGATTGGGTCACCTCAAACTCAAAGGCTCAGACAATCTTTCCACCTCAGCTTCCTGAATAACTGGGATTACAGGTGTGTATAGTTGGATCCAACCTGTCCAGTGCTATGCTGCGAGTCAGCTTTCTTTAGCTATCTTGCAGCAGGAAAGAGGAGGTTTCTTTCATTATAACTGAGACAATAGGATAGGATACATTATATTTCTACTTCTTTCTCTCTGAACTTTACCTCTAGTCATCTGCTAGATTTTGCCAGTTGTATCTGCCCATAGTTCTTGGATATATCAACTTCTCTACTTCCTTAGTGCAGGGCTCAGGTTGCTCTCACTAAGTTGCTACACTGCTCAGGTTGGGCTCAAACTTGTAATCCTCTTGCCTCAGACTCCCAGAATACTGGGGTTACAGGTGTGTGCTGCTACCTCTGGCTATAAAAATCTTTCTCAGAGCCGGGTGTGGTGGCTGACGCCTGTAATCCCAGCACTTGGGAGGCTGAGGCAGGAGGATCATTTCGAGTTCGAGACCAGCCTGGGCTACAAAGTGAGCTCAAGGCCAGCCTGAACTGCATAGAGAGACACTGTCTCAAAAAGACACACACAAAAAATTTCTCAAAATCCTGTATACATCGTTTTCTTTCAATCCTTCTTTCTGCCAAGAGTACTCTGTCCTTACCTGATAGCTTCTCCAATTGTAGACCGGCAGGTGAAAGATATTTCACTTCCATCAGCCAAAGCCATTTTCACTCTCTACCCTAAGACTTTCTTTTCCTTCTCTTTAAGATTTCTCCAACTATTTTCTGCTTCAGACAGTCCTGGCTCTTCTTTTTCACACTTCCTTTTTCTTATCTACTGGTAAATGCATCCTCCCAAGGCAAGTCAAATGACTCAAGGGTTGGCTGTTCTCAGTCCTGATTTTCCCGTACTATTCTGGCCCTGTGCAGTACAGTCTGGGAGCCTCCCAAAGAATCCTTGGAAAGTGGGAAGAGGGAAAGAGATGGTGTATGCCTATGCATTCTTATTGTTATTTTCCTGTCAAAGGTGCAAACAATGTGGGAGGCAAAGTGATACAGCTGTCTGTAGGAACTATGAAAAAAGAAACCACAACAGAACAGGGAAAGGTCCACCTGATCTTAAAACCTAATAAGGAGCTAACCAGGAAGTGAGGAGGTCAAGATGGCGTTTGAGGCTACAGAACACCACCAGCCAAGATTTCAAGATGGAAGATGATATGTCAGACTAGAGGGGAAGGGACTGAGAACAGATGGGGAAAGAAGTAGAAAGTTCTTTTTGCAGAAATGTTGAGAGGGAAAGAGGCTTCTGTGAAATAGAAGAGAAATTACTGTTAGGACTTAATCTCATCACGGTCATCTTGGAAGGGAATGACAGGAGGGGTTTCAGAAAAATAAGAGATTTTTTTTTTTGGTCTTTTTCCTTTTTTTTTTTATCGGTACCAGGGATTGAACTCACGACTGCCTGCTTGCAAGGCAGGCGCTTATGCCGCTGAGCTAAATCCCCAGCCCCCAAAATAAGAGATTTTATAGCTGTTGGGATTACTAGACTACCAATAAGACATGGTTAAAGGGCCTTTAGAACCTCAAAAAGGCTAGTCATGGTGCATTTAGTGGGTGCATGGACACTTTCTGGGCTCAATATTTTGAATTAGACTTTCTGCAAGGTTTTAACTGAGGACAGACAGGTCAGGAATGATAAGAACTTTGTACAGTCCCGGAAAGGCCTGGAACTCCATTCAAGCTTATCAAATGATAACAAAGTACAAAGGAGCAGAAAAGCAAGCTTGGAGAGAGGAGCCTACATACAATTGTGGAGCAGGGCAGGGGCAGAATGACTGTTCAATATTTATTCATTTCCCAAAGGTATTATGCAGCTCTTGTGGCATGAAGTACAAAGACTCAAGACCAGGTAGGCAACTGACTAGTTCAGTCCAATAAACATTTAGTGGGTACAAGCACTATGAAAAGCTTGCTCTGTGGAATCTTTCAGAATAAGCCAGCTGCCTTCAGGGAGCTTACGATCTTCCACAAACCATGATGCTGTGAAAAGCATACTTCCCCTAAAGGAGGCAATGTAAGCACAAAGGAGGAGGCACCACACTATATGTTTAGATAGCATTTAGAGAGAATCTTTTTTTTTTCCTTGAGACAGGGTCTCACTATGTAGCTCAGGCTGGCCTCGAACTTCCTTACTTTGTAGCCCAGGGTGGTCTCAAATTTGCAACAATCCTCCTTCCTCATCCTCCCTAATGCTAGGATTATAGGCGTGTACCACCACTCCTGTCTCTCTAAACAGAATTTTCAAAACCCAGAGAACTAGTAGGCAAAGGTGCAAATCTCTGACACGTTTAAAGGATGCTGGTTATCTATGTAGCTGCAGTAATTTGGCTCGTGGGGAGTTATGCCTGGAAACGTATGCCTGAGTCAATTTATAAAGAGTTTTTGAAGATCACGCAGAGATATTTAGGTCTGTTCGCAGATATACTGAAGACTTATGTGCAGGAAAGTGACATGATTCTATGTCGTTTTACGCAGTTGAACTAATTCAAACATATGATTAGGTAGTAAAGTGACTTCTTTCTGGTGAGAAAAGAGAAATTTTAATCACATAATTAAATTCATTTATAGGGGGAAAAGCCTCTTTCCTCGGGTCAGTCATCGTTCTTTTCTGATTTTAAAATAAATTTTATTTTAATTTATTTATTTATTTGTCTTTTTCGTTTTTTTTTTATTGGTACCAGGGATCGAACTCACGACTGCCTGCTTGCAAGGCGCTTATGCCACTGAGCTAAATCCCCAGCCCCTTAAATTTTATTTTTATAAAAACAAGTCTCCGAACTTAGATCTCTGGGAAAACAGAAGTAAACAGGGACACAGGCTTGTTTTCCCAGAGAGGTTTCCTAGGCGATTTCTTTAATGATCTAGAAACTTTTTTAAAAATTTGTTTGTCCCTTTAGATTTTGGCCAGGCTGAGGAGAAGGAAAGTGCAGTACTGCCTTAAATTCTGCAGCTTTGGTTTGGACGAAACAAATACCTAGAGAACGTGTCCAGAGACTTTAGCCCCCTAGGGTATTTGTTCCCAGCAACAAGGAAATAGCTTAGAAAAAGTAGCAAAGAACGGGCACTCCGCAAATAGCTTATTTTAAAAAAGAAAGAGAATATCACTTTAAGATAATGCCAAAGGAAAAAAATCTGAGCAACAGCCTTGCACTTGCCTCGGATCAGAGCCTTGGGAGAACAAACCGCCTGTGCAATACCCTAAAAAACATAGGCTTCTTGGCACATAATTCCGCCAGGTTCTCAGAGAGGCGGTTAAAGCTACAACCTCGTGCGCCGCAAACCAATAAGAAGCCTGGAATATCCGCTTCTCTCAGATTTCCACCAATCGGTGCTCGTCACTTTAGCTTGTTGGCCAGAGTCTTGTTGTCCAGGAAGGGAGGCAATCCCCCTTAGAATTTTGCCAGTAACGGACATGGCTGCAACCTTTAGAGGAGGGGACGTGAAGTGAGGAGGGGGCTGGGAGGGGAGAGGACGCGGGCGAGGACGACGCGTCTCCGGGCCTGGGTAAGTACAAGACGGCCCGTGGCTCGAAAATGGGGAGCGCGGGGGCATGGGGCTCGTCCTTTTGCGTCCTCTAAGGCGAGGGGGGCGGGGGTCTGCACCCAGAGAATGGCCTCAGCGGACCCCTACTTTAAAGGACTCAAGAGCCTGGCTGTTGCCTCTAGTTCTTGGCTGTTTTCTTCCCTTACATCCTCAGGCTTTCGCGCTCGGACCTGGCTTGTTGCTTTTCGAGGTCCCTCATCAGAAATAAAGCGTCTTTCCCACAAAGAATTCCAGCCCTAGTTTTGCCGTGGACCGGCCCAGAGCCAGAGGCTCTCCACGCTGATGCTATATGTGTTTATAGTCGCCCGGAAGGCTCCATCCTCAACCTAAATAAAGACCCTCGTTTCCCCGCGTGCGCTCCCCTGCTGCCTGGGGCCCTCGTGCTGACCACGTCCCCTGTCCCCTGTCGGAGGGCTGCAAGAGACTCAGACTCACTACTCTGAGCTGCGATGTTGCAGTTTGAATTGTTTTTCTTATTATTTTTCCCTTTCCAGGATCGTTTTAAAGGTCCTCAGAAGCAATCATAGGATCACCGTATTTGCCATCTAATAAAGCGATTTTTGTGCCAAGCCCTTCTCATTACTCCACCGCACACCCTAAAGCCTAGTTTTCACAGTAGCTTGCTTGCCACAGTGTAAACTCTTGTCCAGTGCCCAGTGCCAGACAGGAGCCCTCCTCTCCTTTCATTGGTGTGTATCTATGGGCTGCACTTTGGCTTGTTCACTGAATTGGTCATGTGCTACTCCGTCCCCTTTTCTCCAAGTTTTTCTTTCTTTTCTTTTTTGGCCTTTTTGATACATGGTTTCACTATACAGTCCAAACTGGATTGGAACTCACAGTGCTCCTCCTGCCTCAGCCTCCCTAGTGCTGGGATTACAGGCCATGCACTACCACGCCCAGCATTTTCTTTGGTTCTTGAGGAAAAAGAGAAGGGATTTGAATGCTGAGTTGTTTCCTTTTGGTATGTTTTAAAACATTGGATGGGATACTATTTTCCTACACTTTATCCAAGATGCTCAGTGACATAGTTATCTCCTCAGGGTATTCCTTTTTTTTTTTTTTTTTTTTTGGTACCAGGGATCTAACTCATGACCTGGTGCTTGCCAGACAGGTGCTTGCCAGATAGGCGCTACTGTCACTGAGCTAAACCCCCAGGCCTCCTTGGTGTATTCTTGAGAGATGAAAGTGTTACAGTAGAATAGACAGAGTAAAAGTGGGGAGTAGGGAGCCTTAACGTTTTCATTTCACAGATGTGAAAACCAGCTGTGCAGGCCAAGGGACAGGGCCATCTGGAGCCAGACGTGAATCCTAAACTCTAGATTCTTTAGTCTTTCATCCATGAAAGCCAATTATTTCCCTGTGTGATGTGAGGAAATTAAATCCAGCCACACAGGGTAGTTGTGAGCACTGAATGAAGTGGTGTGGGATGGTGTGGGATGGTGTGGGGATTGTATGGGGTTTGGTAGGATCCCTAGCATAATGTTGGGCACTCACTAGATACTTAATGCATTTTAAAAAAATTATTAATTTTATCTTTTTTTTTTTTTTTTTTTTGGTGCAGGGATCAAACAACCTGGTACTTGCCAGGCAGGTGCTTATGCTGCTGAGCTAAATCCCAAACCCAAAACAATTTACTAACTTTAAATAACTACCAGGTGGTTCACCAGCTGATTCCTTCCTTTCTTCCTGGGCCTCACACATGCTAGGCAAGCTCTACCATTGGAGCCACTTTCCAAGGTCTTTTAAAATTTTCTTTTTAGACAGGGTGTCATGGAGTTGCCCAGGATGGCTCAGAATTTGTGATCCTCCTGCTTCAGCCACCTGTGTAGCTAAGATTATAGGCACCCAGCTTAAGTTAATATTTATTGTGGTCTATTTTTTAGGACATAAATTATTTCAATGGTGTTTCAGTCAGGAGCAAGGTGAGCCTTGTCCTTGTTTTTTTTTTTTTTTAAATTTTTATCGGTACCGGGGATCGAACTCACGACCACCTGCTTGCAAGGCAGGTGCTTATGCTGCTGAGCTGAATCACCAGCCCTGTCCTTGGTTTTTGGCAATCATAGCCTTGTTGGAGATGTCATTAATGGGAATGTGTTGGGTACAAAAGCAGCATGGAGGCAGAAGAAAATTGAGAACCACTGAAGGAAGGAGAAATACTGTGGTGTCTTTTTATGATACTCTTGGCAAAAGAAAAGCTGATCTTAGTATCCTGGAGAAGTAATTTAAACTGGGCATGGTGGTGCACACCCAAAATACCAGCTACTGGGTGCATTCTCTGTTCCCTGTGGATGGAGTTGTAGTAAGAGGATCAAAAGTTCGAGCCCAGTTTGGTCAACTTTGTCCTATCTCAAAAGAAAAAATTAAAGGATTGGGGATGTAGCTTAATGTGAAGGTCTTGGGCTCAAACTCCACTACTGGGGGAAAGAAGTAAAAAGAGCTGGGGATGTAGCTCAGTGGTAGAGTACTTGTCTACCATCTTTAATCCCCAGTCAAACACAGACACAAAGTAATTTAAACAGAAGTTTGACAGCTCAGGAGCACAAGTGCATGGCTGACAAACACGAGGTCATGAGTTTGATACCTGGTACCAAAAAAATACCAGAGCAAGACTTAACATGTTTAGATAAGAGCCACAAACACTGTGTAGTCTTGTTCCAGCTGCCCTGTGAACTCTAGCCTCCTTGCTCATTTGTTCTATGTCAGAGCAACACACAGAAAGTGATGGATACCCTGGAGTAGTGTACGGACCAGGGAAATTAAGCACAAAGCCATGGCTTGAGAATCAGCCTCCAAATGATTGAGAGTTAATGGCCCTGAACCCCCTCCCCCACTCACCCCACCATGTCCCTTGGTGTGAACTTCAGGAGATTAGACCAGGAGAGACTGGAATGGGCAGTGAGATGGAAGAAAACAGAAAGCACTTTACAGTTCTATTTTGAGAAGTTGCTAGGAAGTGCCAACTCCTAGTTGGAGAATCAGCCTTGTGGAAATCTTAACTTCTGTAGAATTAACAAGCAATGAAGGTCACAATCCTTTAGTTTCTCCCAGTAACTTTTCCCCTAAATTGGGCTCCAGAAACATTTTATATGGAGTGGGAGGAGCAGTAATAAAATGTTGCTTCCACCCAAGGCTTTATTTAACCTAACCTGGGGAGTTAGGTATGAGTTCTTACCATAAGTGGTACAAGCTGGCAGGACATAGTGCCTTGGAGACCATCCCTGGTGTTCAAGGGTCTGTTTTTTATCTTCTTATTGTGCCATTGTTGCTTTCAATGTTACTGAAAAGATAGGCTCCTTTAAAAATACTGTTTAAGGTGAATATAAACAATATATCCTGCAAGCTGATGTTAATAAAATAAAAATTTAACATGCTCTTGTTTGCTCTGTAGTTTCCAAGCTGAACTGGGTTTGTTTGCAGCAGCACAGGTGAACTAAAGGTTAGTCTGGCGGCTGAAATAAGAATGTTTTTCTTCCCAAAAGAGCCGCCAGCCAGAATGTGTGGTTTAGTGATCAAGGTTTGTATAATAATCAGCTTGACCTGTGGTTGCAGAGACTATAGTAAACAGTATGGTCGTATGACCAGCACATAGTGTAAGGGCTGGGTTTCAACCCAACCCAGTTGGCTGCCTAAGGCAGGCAAGTCTCACACTGATTGCATTGGAATTCATTTGGTTCAGAAGCCAGAAGTAGTGGGATGATGGTGGAGGGTGTGCAAGAGAAGAGGAGCTTCCAGGGCTCAAATGGCATTTGGGGAACTGGAGATGTTAGTGTAATTATGCAATCCATGTTTTAATAATTTCATGGTCTTCTTGAAAAAGGTAATTGTGATACTGGGGGACCAAAAAACTCCTGAAAACATTGGAAAGTTGTGTACTGGAGAGAGACTGCAAAGTAGACTCCCAGTGTATAACCTACCCTTGAGCTGACAGAGTACAGAGAGGAGACTGCTGCTGGGTAACATAGGCAGAGCTATTGCAAAACTGACCAGTGGTCTGTGTGATAACTATGTGTAGCATAGGGCTGGGGACATGGCTCAGTAGCACAAGTACCTGCCTGGCAAGCACAAGGTCCTGAGTTTAATTCCTGGTATGCCTTCCCCCCCAAAATATATATGGCATAAAATTTACCATTTTAGTTCAGCAGCATGAAGAACTCTGAATCATGAGGCAGTCTTGGAACCATCCGTCTCCAGAACTTTCTCATCTTCCCATATAGAAACTCTGTACCCATTAAGCACTGTGTCCCCATATCCTTGCGCCCATCCCTTGGCCATTACCACTCAACTTTTGATTTCTATGATTTTTGAATACCCTCGAAAGCTCACATAGGAGGCACCATACAGTATTTGTCCCTTTATGACTGGCTTATTTCACCTAGCATAGTGTCTTCAGTATTAATCCATGTTATAGCATATGTGAAAATTTTCTTCCTTTCTAAAACAAAGTTAGATTCCATTGTAGGAATGTACTGCATTTTGTTTTTTCATTGTGTCTATTAGCACAGCTATTGTGAATGAATAGTGCCTCTATGAACATAGGGGAATGCATTCTGAGTCCCTGTTTTATTCTTTTGAGTATTTATAAACAGGAAGTCAGAAGTTGCTGGTATTGTGTGTGTGATACTGGGGATTTAATACAGGACTTTCACATTGAACTATATCCCCAGCCCTTTAAAACTTTTTGAGACAGAGTCTTGTGAATTTACCAGTTGCCCAGCCTAGGCTTGAATATATATATATATATATTTTCTCTCTCTATATATATATATATATTCAAGAATATATATATTCTCTCTCTCTCTCTCTCTCTCTCTCTCTCTCTCTCTCTATGAGAGAGAGAGAGAGAGAGAGAAATCCAAGTTTTTATTTTTATTTTTATTTATTTATTTATTTTTTGTCTTTTTCTTTTTTATCAGTACTGGGGATCAAACCCACAACTGCCTGCTTGCAAGGCAGGTGCTTAT